AATAACTGTATTTTCTGGTTGAGCAGCAAAAGTCACACCAGGGAAATGAGTTTCATGGAAAAATCTGGTTTTATCATTGAAATAAACGCGATCGAAGCTTCAACTTTGACCTCAATTTTATCGAAAACTGGCAACTCAAACAAATTTTCAATAGCACCTCTATACTCAGTTTTCATACCCCTAAAAACTCACTAAGTCCCAACTCTTAACGGTGAAATCAAAGTTTTTGGACATTGTCTTTAGGTTAAGTTGAGGGAACATATTTTCCCCCTAACTCCTTACTCGAAAAATGGTTTTACATATCCTTTTAATTTAACAATAAACCATCAACCTGAACAACTAAAAAATTTTTCCCCCAAAGTCAATGATAAAAGATACGGATTCTGCATTTTTTCCCCTACCCTGTTTAAACGCTAATTTCTCAGGTACCTGAATTCCGATACAGTTCAGACTATTTTTCGTGGATGTAGTTTAATCATGACTTTCAGGCTGTGAAAAAATTTTCTTTAGAATCTTTTAGTTTGGCCACAATCTTTACGCAAAAATTTCATGTTTTGACTTTATATATTGTATAGATATAGATTGAAATTAAAAATATAAACAGGAAAGTTGATCCACGCTTTGTTGATTCAATGTAATATTTATTGAGAAACTATTGCTTCTTATTAACTAGTTGTCTTAAACTAACTTAAACTCATCATTTGTTTTCTTTAAGTTTAAGTCATTCCCAAGATTTACATTACAACAACTGTTTGTTGGAGAAAAGTTTCACAAAATGAATTTCATCCTAATTTTACTTGTAATGAGTGCTTTACTGTTAAATAGTGTAGTAATTAGTGTTTCTCGATTTTCTTTTCTGGTATGGATCGAAAGGAACGATATTTTTAAGGAAAGTATCGATTATATCGCTCGATACTTGTATTGAAAATATCAATTAAAAAATCGGAAAATATCGTAAAATATCGTGAAAAATAGAGTAAAATTGCATAATATTTTTGGATGTGATGGCGCAGAGTTAAGAAAACATAATTTTTCGTAGTTTTCAGGCTTTATTTGATTCTTTTTTCTCTTAATATCGAATCTGCTGGAGAGAATTAATGCTGGCATGAAACAGAATTTGATTAAACTTTCTTATAAAAGTGATTATCTGCATTAAGTTAAGCGGTTTAGAAGTATCGACTGATACTGATATAATCGGAGTAAGAATCAATATGTATCGTTGAAAAAAGTATCGATTTATATCGAAGAATCGATAGTATTGCAGAAACACTAGTAGTAATAGAAACAGGGCAACGGTTTTATGTTGGATTCAATGAAACTCTAACTGATCATATTCATCAGTCAACAGTTGATATTCAGGTATTTTATCGATTGTTCCTATTATTCTGGTTTTCAGTGAATTCTCTTTTCTCTTCAGTTTAATTCAACTAAAGATACTGTGATACCAATTTCATGGATGAAGTATGCAAGACAAGGAATCAACTATGAACAAGTAGATGACTTGGGATCTGGTTCAAGCTTTACTTCAACAACAAATGGATGTGCGGTTCGATCGAGCAATCGAAATGAATCAATCAATTTTGTAAGCTTAAGCTTGCAAGAATTTTTCGGAAAAGCCTGGATTTTTAGATACACAAACGAAATCTTATTCGTGAGTTTTTGCAGTTTCTTCCTCAACGTTTTATTCATTTTCACACTCTTTTCCAGTCAATCAAATATCAACACAGAGACCAGATAATCACGCATGAAATGGAGTTTAATAAACAAATTGGAAACTTTTCATACGATTTAGTGAGCACAACGCTCAAGGTGGCTAGAAGGGTACCTTATTTTCCTGAAAGAATCACTTTTTACATCATTTTCAAGCCTAGAAATATCTCATCAGATCTGGTCTTGCAAAATCTCCAAGTTGAACGTAAACTTTATAACAAGGAAAATTTATGTTTAGAAACTCAATTTCAGGTAAGATTGTCTTGTTTCTGCTCATTCATTCACACATTTCATTTTTATTCAATTTAATTCATTTTTAGTAAAATTATCAGCTGTAATGACATTAGCCATGGATGCATTGGAATAACTCTTGATCAACCTTTGCCTGATGAAAAGGAAAATGGCTCAAATTGTGTTTTATACAACAATTTGGATAAAGTATTGTATAAACAAGTTCAAGAGCCATCATTAAGAGAACTGAAAATGTCATACAAACATCTAAATCAAACAACGCTTTCCAGTGCTGAACTAAACTTTGACCTACATCTAATTGACTCATCGCAAAATGATAGCCATTCACCAATTGATTCTGATTCGTTCAATGTGAAAATTTATTGCAAAAATTGTTTTGGCAACTATATATTTCTTTTACTGATTGTCGCCCTCGTTTGCACCGTCATTGGCTTAGCTGCATTTGTGTGCAAATCATATCGACGAAACGTTCGAATCAGCTCATCTTCGGCAATTTCACTGACAGTTTTGAAAGATTCATAAGATTATAACATTATCAGTGCAAATTGGCAACCTTAAAATACTTACTTAAATTGTAAACTTACGTTTTGGTTAAAATGGTGAATCTTTGCATTGAACAATTTTAAATTATTGTATAATTTCAATTTATAAACGGTCGTGGAGACCGCATCCGCCCTGCATTGCGATTGTAAATTCTCGGATTCACTCTTCACACTCTTGTGCGAGATGATTAGCTGCATCCTTATTCCTGTAACAAGGTGAAATGAAATGAATAAAGTCAAGAATAACCCTACTGTATTTCAACAATTGTTTGTATTGATCACGACAATCTGAATAAGCATGAAAATAACATTGTAGTTACTAATCAAACGGGCAATAATGGAAGCAAAAGTTTCAGCATCAGCTGTAATAATCTTTTCATTAAAATAAAATCAGTAAAATAGTGTCATGCAGTGACTGAAACGCTGCTCAAAATTCATTTATAATACTTGTAAATACAGATATTAATATGGAAAAAGTAATCGAAAAAACCAGCAATTAAATAACTCTTATGAAAGTTATTTGGATAAGTATGGCTACCTTACCCTCGAGATCTTATTGCTTACAAGTTGTTGGTTGGACTTTTAGACTTGTTAGACTTTTCATGTGATCCTCAGCAATCTTACATCATGTCAGCGTCCAACTAATAAGTATTTTAAACCTTATTTTAATTTAATGAAGAGGGCGCAGAGGTAGTATAACGAAGCATGGGAATTGAAGGCGTTCTAAAGGAAAGTTACATGTTAATTCTGACGAGTTTATAAGCTATGGCTTCATTAGATTTTATGTTTTTAGATCATAAACAATAACATTGATCGATTGTGATATTCCTTATATTATAGTATTCTATGTTAAACTTTTACCTGCAAAAATGTTCCCAAGTAAATATTTTGTATGGATATTTATGATTTTATATAATTTAAAATCAGGCTATCAACAAGGTTACAAGGAACTATCTAGACTAGGGCCAAATTTTTTATTGAAAGCTAAGTTAAGTTATAAGGTAAGCTTTACTCACTTGATAAACTGACTTTAATTTCTTACAAATTGATTATTTTAAGGGTATACATCAGAATGTAGATCAACTAAAGCCATGGTATTGGCTTTATAAGAGTTGGTTGATAGAAGAGTCAGTATTTGGCGATGAAAAAAACATGATCGTAACATTAATAACCGATGAAAAAGAAGGAACTCAAATAAAAGTGTTTCGTGATTTTAAAACTCAAAACATTACATTGGTCTGTGTTCGTAAGTAAACAAAAAATTTATCGTATTAAGTGAATAATTACTAGAATTGTTTGTATTATAATGTAATATAATGAAACTTCAATCCTTGTAAACTAATTGACCAGAAAATTTATGTCGACGAAATGCTGATTTGTTGGATAAAATCTTTAAGGAATTTACTGGATCTACAGCTCAGAGTGTGAAAGCCACACTGTTGTTGGGACCTTATCGTATGATATCATGTGAAACTAGTGAAAATGCGGTACATACTGGAAATTTGACAACTTATCGTTGTGGTACTTTGTATTTGGAGGCATCTTTTAAAGGTTTGTTTGCAAAGATGAATCGAGTGTAATAATGCATTACATAAATAATTTTCAGATCGGACTAAAGAGTTTATTATACGGGATAGTAGCATTCGAACGCTGGTGTTGAACGTGACACAAATCGAGTCTTTAGTACAAGTCAACGTATCAAAGTCAACAAAAGTTATTCAGTACAAATTGAATGAATCAATCATTGAATACAAAAAATCAGGAACAACTCAGGTGAGTGTTTTTTTTGCCTTTCGATGAATCTTGTCTCGACGTAATGACAAATATTACGAACAGATCCCCCGATCATGACTGATCTTAAATTTCTTCCCACTGAATTAAATAAATTCAATCCATATTTAATGAACTCTAATGTTTTTACTTTCGGGCTGTCAATAGCTTTATTTCACATCATTGGACTCAGTTACCTTGGTCGAGATCAATTACAAACGATTCCATGTCGAAATGGTTTACGACCGTAAATTTGGTTTGAAATACATTCCATCTGGTCACGATGAATGCATAATTGTATCAAGCAGCTTTGATGATGAATTCAATTACGTAGCTTCAGAAGACTATGTAACGGAGTTTATAAATGAACTTTATTTTCCTAAGAATCCGGTGAGTTCAAAAAAGCAACATTCAATCCACAAAGGCATAAACTTTTTTTTATAAACATTAACTAGGTTGAACCATACAGCAAGAAACTGAGGGTTGTAGCAAAGCACAATGTAACAATTGGTAATGTAAAGTATGATTCGGTTGTGAAAACCTATCTAGCACCAGATAATGCCGTAAGTTTCATTTCATACAGAATAAAAAAGATTTCTGCGTTTTTGTAATATTAATAATAAAAAATACTCTGAATCCAAGTCAAGATGGATAGTGGAAAGTGGAAGGCTCGAAGATTTCTGTGTTCAAATGGACCTTTATTCGAATTCTGTTTCAAATGAGGTACGATAAGCTTTAAACTGGAATGAAACGCAAATGAAATAATCTCCTTTTCCTTATTAGGTACCATTCGATTACGAACTCACTGAAAGAAAGGTAATATGCTTGCTTGAAATTTCGCACCACTTAGACAGAGACAAGTTTCACCGCATGATTGATTCATATAATCAATGCTTCAAAGACAGAAAAGACAAAGTTATTCTCCGTTTAAAAATTTCATTATCAAGTAAATACGTCATATTTAATCATTATTTTCTAGTCAGTAATGAGAAAATATTTTTCATTGCAATGAACAGATCATTTGCTAGCAGACAAAATTAACGAATTGCAAGCCGAAATCTATCGTATCAAAGATGTTCTTCGAGGTTTGCTCATTGATAAATTGAATATATCATATTTGAGAATAAACTGGATCAAATTTAGCTATGAAAACTCACAAATCATGGCGAAGGTTGAAATATTAGACTCATCTGTTATCATCTTTGGTAAGTTTCTTGCAATTATTAATAACTCATTACTTCGATCTATTAATGAAACGTTTTTCGCTTAGAAACAAAGAAAGGAGTTTCGCATAAATTCAACGTCAAATCAACTGGCTCTGGTCAAACTCATACATCAACCATTGATGAATGTATACATGTACAAGCTTCTAAAGTCAATCTAAGGTCAGTAAATTTTTTGAAAATAAGTCTCTTGATATCATCAAAATTTGTTATCTTTCAGTTATGTTATAACTTGTAAGACTGGAGATTATTTATGCCTTGGAATTGCTCATGGAGACTCATTGCCTGATGAAAATGAAAATGGATTAAACTGTATGTTGTACAACAATTCAGATCTTAGTTCGACTAAACTATTGGCAGGAGTTCCTTTGGAAGTGATTAAAAAATCTTATTTCAATTTGAATGGAAGTCAATTCAACTATTCTGATATTGAATTTGCTGTTGTTGATGTTACGATTGGAGATGGTATACGCCTTGATAGTCCAGAAAAGGCGAAATCAAGCTCAAATTTCACACTTTTATTAGTATTTTCTATATCGATCAATATTGTGATATTTGTCAAGTTTGCATTTAGCTATAAACTGTATCAATTCCGAACTCATTCTCTTCGTGATTATGTTTCGCTTAAATTATTCAAATCAAGCATCTGATTTTAAAATATGCAGACAAGAACCATAA